TGCCTATTTGTCGAATAAATGTGTTTTCTTTCTTTCTTTCTTTCTTTCTTTGATTGGAAATGGTCCAGCGATGTCTAAGGCTATTCTCTCCCAAGGCATACCAACATTGTAGATTTTCATCGCCCCTCTGCTTCTTGTTTGTGGACCCTTGACAGCTGCACAACTAGTGCATTTCCGGCACCAATCTTCGACGTCATATTTGCAATGCAACCAATAAAACCTCTCCTTGATTTTCACCAAAGTCCTCCTAATTCCCAAATGTCCTCCAGAAGATCCATCATGGAACGCTTTTAATACATCCCTTATTTTTGAACGAGGCACCACCAATTGCAAATGCTCGTCCTTGCCGTTTGTTGATTCCCATTTCCTGCACAAAAGTCCGTTATGCAGCGTAAGGCTTTTCCACTGTGCCCATAAACCTTTCGTTACCGCGCTATATTGGGCGACGTCATTCCAACTTGGCTTGTTACCACTTCGTAGCCACTCCAGTATTGGTTTAATATCTGCATCTCTTTCCTGTTCTAATTTCATCGCATCATCTCCCCATGCCTCGTCAACAGTATCAGTCCTTATCACCTTAAGAAAAGTAGTTTCCTTCTTGGCACAATGCTTGCAATCTTCCACGCATGGGCGTCTCGATAATGCATCTGCGTTGCCATGAATTCTTCCTCCGCGATGTTCGATTTCAAAGTCAAATTCCTGAAGTTGTTCCAACCATCTGGCTACTTGGCCTTCGGGATCCTTAAACTGAAGCAGCCATTTCAAAGCAGCGTGATCTGTTCTGATCAAAAATTTCCGTCCCAGTAAATACTTCTTGAAATGGTGCAGAGTTTTGACTACGGCCAGCAATTCCCTCCTGGTCACGCAATAATTCCTTTCCGGCTTGGATAGTGACTTGCTGAAGTAAGCAATAACCTTCTCCTGCTTACTCACCATCGCGTTGTGAAAGGACACCTCCTATTCCTATATTGCTGGCATCCGTATCTACTACGAATATTCCTTTCGCGCTGGGGTATCCGAGAATTGGTGTGTTACAAAGCCCTTCTTTTAGTTCTCGAAAGGCTTGCTCACAATCCTCGTCCCAGATAAAGGCACGTTTCTCCTCTGTCAATCGATGCAAAGGCTTGGCAATGTCCGAGAATCCTTTCACAAACCGCCGATAATACGAGCACAATCAAAGAAATGCCCGAACTTGCGTTTTGTCTTTAGGTGTTGGCCATTCCTTAACAGCGACAGTCTTGGCTGGATCAGTCTCAATGCCTCTCTCAGAAATAACATGTCCCAGATAATTCACTTCGCGCTTGAAGAAAGAGCATTTCTTTGGACTCAACTTTAAATTTGCTCCACGCAGCTTGTCGAGTACCTTTTCCAATTTCCTTAGATGGTCGTCAAAATCCCGTCCAACAATGATGATGTCATCGAGGTAAACTAGGCAGGTTTCGCCCAGCACCTGTTCCATCAAACGCTCAAAGGTTGCCGGTGCATTGCATAATCCAAATGGCATCACCTTAAGCCTTGCCAGAGTCCCTTCCCAGTTGAGAACGCGGTCTTTTCCTTGTCCTTGGGATCCAAATCCACCTGCCAATAGCCGCTTTTCAGATCGAGCGTTGAAAACCATTTCATGCCACTCAGTGTGTCAAGTGTGTCATCGATTCTTGGTAACGGGTAGCTATCCTTCTTGGTTACATCATTCAATCGTCGATAGTCTGCGCAAAACCTCGTTGAACCATCTTTCTTCTTGAGCACGACAGGTGAACACCAAGGGCTAGAAGAGGGCTCTATCACGTCATTTTTCCTCATTTCTTCAACCTCTTTCTCACGAGCGAATGGTATGCGTCTGGGCCTTTGACGAATTGGCATTGTATCACCTGTGTTTATTTTATGCTTCACCAAACCAGTTCGGCCAATATCACCATCGCTTCTTGAAAACACATCAGAGAATCGAAGAAGTAAATTTCTAGCTTTCATAGTCTCCACTTTTGTCAGACTTTTGTTTTCGTCTAAGATTTTCGTTACAAAGTCTATTCCCGTACTATCCTTCTTCACAAGATTTTCCGAGCATTTTCTTATCCAGGCCACTTCTTCCAATACGCCCACAGGCTCTCCTTCTTCAATCGTAATTTCTGAATCACTGAAGTTGAATACCGGAATGCGGTTAACATCAGATGACCCCACGACAGTTCTTGCCGGTAGCCATGAGTTTACGTGTTCCGATTTATCAATCACAGCGCACCTTCGAGGTAAACTTCCTTCCCTCCTCCTAGGTAATGCGATTGGTACGAGAGTCTGTGATTTTGGTGCAAGAACAGTTCTTCTTAAACAGCAAACTTTTCCCAGGGTTCCACCCTTCATCGGAATTTCCTCAGTTCCACATAGTAATACTCCAGATTTTAAGTCGATGTTACACTGGTGCCCTCGCAGGAAGTCAAGTCCCAGGATGCAGTCATCCAGAATTTTTGCCACAATAACCTCATGTCGATAAACACGTTCCCCAATTTTGATTGTTACATGCAGTTTTCCATTTATCGGTATGCACTGGCCGGTAGCTGATTTCATTCGTAGGCCAACAATTGGTTTAAGGTGTTTCCTGATGTTTTGCCCGAGCAGCCGAACATTTATCACCGTCCTTGAAGCTCCAGTATCTAATGTTAGCTGACTGTTTTTCCCATTTACTTGACCGTCTATCACCAGAGTATTTCCATCGTTAGTTTGCTTGATGTAGATTGTTGGGGTTATTCCACTACCAGCCAGCGCCCACCCCGCAGCCCTGGATGGATTTAGTTTCCCTGCTGGTCAGAAGTTGAGACCGCCGCGTCCTGGCGGTTCACTTTCTTCGGGCAGTTGCTCCGCATGTGCCCACGCTCTCCGCATCCATAGCACATGAAGTTCCGACGGCGTGGAGGTACATGCTCCGTTGTTGTCATTTCCCGCAGACGTAAGGTACGGGAGTTACCACGCACGGCTTCCACTTCCAATGCATGGGCCAGAGCTTCTTTCATGTTCTTGTGATGGCCCAGATGAACAGCAGCTCGTACTTCGGGGTCCCGAATACCGTCAATGAACGCTTGGAGAAGCGTGCCTTCAATCATTGACGGAGTCGACCGGAAAGCTCGACGCACAAGTTTCTCGATTTCCACGGACCATTGCTGTAGGCCCTCATTAGCACGCTGAGTACGCTCTTTTAATTGCGCTCTGTACACGTGCTCGAGGTGGCTGTCTCCAAAACGTGCCTCAAGTGCGTCGAGGAGGGCACTAAAGCTGAGATCCCCACTTGCGCCGATAGCTTCCAGCACTGAGAGCGCTTGATCACGGAGGGCCAGGGTGAGGGCTGACTGTGCTTCCTTCTGAGTCCAACCATAAGCCTCCATAAGTGTTTCAAACTGTAGCTTGAACGCGTTCCAGGATGTTGTTCCGTCGTAATGGGGAATCTTGAGCCCTTTCGTTGCGCTTGAGGCCGCATTTGGGGCGTCAAAAACGGCTGCAAGACGGCTTCGGCTCTTCAAAGGGCTTGGGCTTGTCACTTCCTGCTTGATTTTGGCGATCTCTTCTTCCACTCTCTCCTCTATCGCCATGACGCGATGTTCCAACTTGCCTAACCCTTCCTCCACTTCTTGAACCCGTTCGACAGCCTTTAGCAGTCCCTTCGTGAAATCCTTATGCATCTCTTTCAGCTCCCGTAGCTGTTCTTCTTGGCGGCGCGCTTGCTCTACCATCATTTGCTGCAGCTGTAGCAGAAGATCCACCTGCACAGGCTTAGCTTCTGCATCGCTGGTTTGAGCTGCAGCACCCTCTTCCCTCACACGCTGCGCTTCTGACATTGCACGGGTACTCACTCCTCTTACGTCCTGCGGCACTAGCGGCATTTTTCTCCAATCCCACTTCTGACACCAAATGTTACGTGCCTGACGTCACGTTCCTGACTATGCGGGCTTGGGTTACGGGATTGGACAAAATTAAACACTAATACCGGTTTTCAGACTTTCTATTGCACTTAAATAACAGTGTCCACCGAGTTAAGTTTTCGGCGTTCCTCTCCAGCAGAGTCGGGGCGACTGACACAAACTTCCGTTTGCCGCTTACAGTTCACGCTGATTTTCACTTAACTCACTGCACTTCACTATTTCACTGCACTTCACTATTTCACTCACTTTTCTTCTTTTTCACTTCTTCCTTTTCTTCCGAATCGCTTTGGACTTAGAACTCAACTGCCAGCGGTGAGCCGCAGTTCCGCTTATATACCCCCGGTCAGGTTCTGGAACATTCAATTTCGTTATTCTTTTTGATCGTCATGCCTCCAGAACCTTCCAATAATTTCGTTATTCATTTTTATTTATTCTCCTTCTCGCTCTTTAATTTTTCATTTCTTTCACACAAATAATTCCAGAAAGTTCGACAAAACTTCCATCAACTAAAAAACTTCATGTTTACAGCGGGACTCGAACTCGGGGTCTCTGTGGTGTAATCCACACGCCTTACTGATTACACCAACTCGTGTTGACAATTTACGACGAAATTTACAATCTCTAGGCAACGTTTGACAACCATCCATTGACGTCATGATGTCAAAGAGTTTGAACCACTTTTCCGTCACAATGTGCAAGGTATCAGCCGAGGTTGCGGATCAAGCTCAATAATGTCCCGCGACCTTCCCTGAAGCAAGACCTACAAAGCACTCCCTTCGAGTGCTTTCTGTCACCCACTCTCACCCCATCCAGGGCGAAAGAAGTCATGTGATGATTTCCCCCCACGAAAAATATATGAAAGATCTAATGACGCCACTTAAGTAAATAAGTAGTATCACCATAAAAAGCCTCATTCTCCTCACAACCTCTTTGCTAAAAACGAAGAAGTACAAATTACATAATTTCAAAGCTATATAAATTCTTTCAAAAGTGTCAAGAGATTAAAACGTCTTTGTACATTGTATTAAATATTTGTTTACTAGGTATTTTATTTATTAGTATTTTGTTGTAGTCTTATGTTGTGATTTGTTTACCAGAATGCCTCCCCAAGCTGAAAGGAAGCCTAACCAAGTGGAACAGAAAGTTGTGGACCCTGAAGCAGAGCTTAGTAATGCTGTCAGAACCGTAAGTACCTCTCAAGATATCTTCCATGACTTAAAATTGTAATTGTAATTGTAATTGTAATTTTAGCGTACCGCTACTTTTACGTTCATAGCGTGGCGTACCGTGCCAGAAGATTATCCGTTTCATTATGTTTATTATGCTTAGAGAGAGACAGAACATGTCGCATGCTGTCAACTTGTCAATCACAATGCTCATTCCGCCCTGATCTTGTTGGAAGATTATGCGATACCCAAGGTTCATCGGAATGGCAATGACTCGTAAGAGAGTAAGACCACTGAGACGGCAACACCCCTTGACCCAGCTACCGTCTCAAATGTTGCGCCAAGGACAGCATGATCCCCAAATAAAATCTCCGGAGGATATTATAAGCTTCGCTTTAAGAAAGTACCTTAATTTTTTATAAATTCTAGGTGGACAAGTTCCAAACTAAACCAGAATTATTGTTGTTGTCAACTTTAAAAATTGGTCCCAAGAACCGCTTGGCAATCCTACTTTAAGCAAACGCGGTGATCAAATTGTTCTTTTTACCATTATCCATTTTGCCTTCTAGTACTTGAAGCTCGCCCCGCAATGCAGTGTGGAAAAGAGAGCTGGTGGTATACCGCAACTTGCTCCTCAGGAGAAGCAGCTCAGCATTCTCGCTCATGAACTTCATGAAACGCTGTTGTGCATCAATGTTAGTTGTTTAATCTAGTGTACTTACTACCATTGGGGATATTAAACAAAATATTAAATAAAAGAAAAGAATCCACAATTTTGTCAAAATAAAAGGAAAATGCATAAGCTATATGGCATTCCGGGACTCGACCCGGGTAAAGCTTAAATTTTATTAGAAAAAAGCTAAAATGTTTACTCCCTAATGACTTCTGGCTGTTATTATCACATCAGCCTGATTTTTATTCATACTAAAAGGCAATTATTCTACTTTTAACGAACAGCATTCACCCTGATCTGGACTAATATAATCAATTTGTGTTCATTAAATCTTATATTACTCCAAAATTACATCCCTAACTTCTCAGTAAATTCTATTCATCCATCTTCTTAAATACAGCTTGCAAGAAAAGGGCAGCATGCAGTTCGTGATGCTAATGTCAAAAGTGGTACCCGCAAGTCTATAGTGGAGTATGAGCAGTTGGAGTCAGTGCTCAGGGATGAAAGGGCGCAACAAGCTGAACTCGATTGCCTCAACTATCTGGCACAGAAGAATGTCATTGAACTGTCCAAGAAAGTCCCCACTGAGGCTGATGTGAGTATCGGGAAATAAATTAAATACCTATAACAGTGTTCTCCTTTTATGAATTAAATCTTCAAAAAAAATCGTTTCTTTTTCTCTTTATTATGAAGACCTAGCTTAGAAGTAGCTTATTATAGCTATAAATTTACCCTCACAGCCTAATTGGATGTGATCCTTAACCCAACACTGAATCAAGAATGGACACAGAACTTATATTCCTAACTTCCTACATCTAATCAGTTTAAAAATATAGATTTCACTTTATTAACTAAAAATCGCGGGTTACTCACGTTTAAATATTGAGAAAAGCTCTAATAGTTTCGAACCACAGAGGGGTTCTTCCTCATGAGCAGCGTGCGCGGACGCGGCGACGTCGCGCAGCCTACTGGTTAGTGTTGGCGCCTGCATCGCTGTTGATGGTTGCGCTGCGGCGAGTCCAACGCGCCATCTGCCGGATACCACGCGCGTTTGCTGCCATCTCCGGCGGCGGCGCGTGTGACGATGTTGAGGCGCATGGTAGTGGGTTCGATCCCGGGCCCGGCATCGAACCCCTCTGTGGTTCGAAACTAGTAGAGCTTTTCTCAATATTTAAACGTGATTAACCCGCGATTTTTAGTTAATTTAGTATGTCTCACGATAGTTATTATAAAAACATATTTCACTTTATCTATATTCGATGTATTCAAAAAAAATTGTGATAATTTAAAGCAGTAAGTATTTATAACAAACCAATTAAACAGGAATTAGGTATGATTGAGAACGCCAACAATCGTCTTCGTCGCATGGAGAATAGACTGGACCTGGCCACGAAAAGGGTCTGTGTTGTCAATGCGGATAACAAGAAGGTTCGGGAAGAAATCCACAGGCTGCTTGTTGAAAGGTAGATTTTCTGTATTTTATTTCTTTTATGGTAACAGTCGACAAACGAGCAGACGGTTTACCTGATGGTCAGCAATCGGCGCCGCCTATGGACACTCGCAATACCAAAGGAGTTACTACGAGTGCGTTTCCGGTCTCTTGTTGGTTTGTTAGGGATTTGCGGATAGGTGATTTGAGGCTTTGAGAATGAGAGGGGGGGAGCATTGGGCCTCCGGTAACCTCACTCACTCGACGAAACAACGCCACGCCGTTTGCTTCACGCCGGCTTTCTGAGAGGCCGTAGTATCATTCCGGTCGAGCCGGCCCGTTCGTGCCGAAGATGGCTCTCCTACACTTCTGTTCTAGTTCTTTTTGTTTTAAAAAGAAACGTTGCCCACTTAGGATTTTCTCCTGAGGGTGTGCTTCCAAACATATAACTTCACAAACACATCACACCTAGCGCTGAAACAATAATCCACACATAACACAAAAAGCTGCACGGAAATTCAGCTAGACATTGTGTAGCAGTCGCTTGCTCTGTCACCTCCCCAACCGTACATGTATCACTACATGGTATAAAACTAAGTAGTTTTTTTCTATATCCCTATGTATGCTTAAATCTTTAAAACTACTCAAGAGATTTTGATGAGGTCTTTTAATAGAGTGACTAAAGAGGAAGGTTATATGGATGCTAACATCCATTCATTTACGTACGAAGCCGGGGCTGGTCGCTAGTGCCCATATAAATTGATTAGAATTTTTCTCTGTTCGATATCCAGAAAAGGCTTTAATATACAATGGAACCGCACTATTGGAAAGCTGGTGAAAGGCAAGATGTACTTGATGGATATATTCGAAATAGCCTCCATGGCCTTCTCAGACAGAGACGAGTGCTGTCGCAAGCTAGAAGCTCTCAAGTGGAAAGGTCTCTTCCAGCTGAATAGAGATATTTCTGTACGTATCATTTGTAGCTTACTTTTACTATAACAAAGTCATAAATGTAACTTACTTATAGTTCTGAATTTGTCGTTTTGAGAATCTACCGTTTTGAGGATGCGGACAATGATTAAAGTAGAAACAGAATAAAAAAATGCGATTGAAGCCTCCTTTTAAGCAAGTCATTCCTGTATTAGGAGACGCAATAAGTCTTTATTACGACTTGCAGATTATCCACTATTACAAAAACTACACTACAATATCATAAAACTTAGAAGAATTAATCGCCTTTTGTAAAAACGCTGAGTAATCCTTATTTTAAGCGTGTTACAAACAAGATTGTGCTTCCTAAAATTCTTGCTGAAAAACTTTTCCAATTACTTTTTATACCATTATGGGTTTAACTAAATTCTCTATTTCCACTTTTCTCTTGCTATTCACAGGAGATGCAATCCTTCGAAGGTGAACTGAACCACCTCGCGAAGCTGGAAGAATTTCTGCGAGTGAAAGGTTCACGTCGAATCTGCGAGGCTGATGAGAAGGAGGAGATAAAAAGGCAGGAGGAGATACAAGCCTGTGAACAGGATATTGCCAGACATGATGCGTTGCTTGAAGAGATATTTGTGAGTATATTAGTACCAGTAACAATAATTTTGATAGCGCCATAATGGAATGCAGCACGGATACTCTCCCCGCAGATGACTTAAGACCCCAATAAGGGATTATTATGCACTAGCTTCCGCCCGGTATGGCTTCGCCCGCGTGGTATGTTGATATAAAGTAACCTATGTCCGATTCCGGACTGTATCCTACGCCTGTGCCAAATTTCATCCAGATCCGTTAAGGCGTTTTGGCGTGATTGAGTAACAAACATTCAATACCAAAGGAGTTACGAGTCGAGTTGCCAGACTTTCGGGGATTAGGCTTTCCGAGATTTTGGGATTAGGAAAGGCTTAGGGGAGGATAAGGATTCCGTTCCGATTAAGAGTTCCGTTTTAATCATACTCATTATTATTGTGATGAATGTCGTGGTGGCTCGGAGGTTGGGGCGCTGGGTTGCTATGTTAAATGCACTTAATATGATGCGTGAAAAGAGGCCTTTGCTCAGCAGTGGGCACTTAAAGGCTGATGATGTGTGATCATACACGAGCAGATATAGTGTTGGTTCCCAAATAATATATCTCCAAGAAAAGTACTCTGTAACAAATATTTGTTTCTAGGCATACGCCGGTTCTGAAAAAGTGCCACACATCATAAACCACTTTCAAATAAGTGAGATCGAAAATTTTTCCTGTTTTATTCTACTCTGTCAAGTGCTGCAGGAGTCCATAATTCTAAAAAGGGAACAGGAAGTTCTAAGGCAAAGAATCTGTGAGTTTTTTAGTAACAGCTACAATAAAATTTTGAAGAAAATCTTCACCTGCATCTCAATCGCAGTCCACATTTATGAGATGCCGGGGATTCGATTCAAGCGCAATAAGGTACCTCAACCTCAACCTTGAGCAGGAGAAGCAGGAGAAGAATGGGGTAGTCTTTAGTCAGTAAGAGTCGAACACTCTCTTCGAGGGCGAGAAAGTAATTCGATGATTGTCCCCCCCTCCAAAGAAGTCCACTAATATGCTGGCTCACGAAAATGCATAGCAGCAACTTTTGGACCCTCCCGTTGTTCATTAGATTTGTGTTAAGTATGAAGAAATCATAGCCTCTATGGTAGACAGCCGGGGTTGCGGGGTAAGCGCAATGAGGCACCGCGACCTGGGCCCAGAGCAGGAGAAGAAACGGGCTTTTTTAGTCAGTAAGAGTCTGACACTCCTTCCTGCCCGACCCTGGGCGGGAGAAGTCATGTGATGATTTTTCCCTCACAAAAAAAGGCTCTATGGTAGAAATCAGTAATACACTTACCTACCGTTTTGTTGTGTAGCTTAGTGTTTTTTTTCGGGTCAAGTTCAGTACAGAGAAATCATCGGTTTTAATTCCAGTTGACCAACGGGACTTGAACGAAGCTCGAGAGGAGCAACAGGATAAAAGAATAGCGAGCATGACGAAGACACTCGAAGAACTTCGTGCCAGTACAATGAAGAAGCAGGAGCTTAACAATCAAGCTGATGCCACTATAGCTAAAGTGCTCAAGGGTATTGACGAGCTCGTCAAGTAAGATACCGATTTTTTTATGTGATAGGTCGGCAAACGAGCAGGCTGATTACCCGATGGTAAGCAATCAATATAGACTGCAACCATAGAGGAGTTCCGAGTACTTTGCCGACCTTTTTGGAGATTTAGGGATTGCGGGAGGAGAAGGATTGAGCCTCCGGTAACCTCACTCATACCACGAAACACAACGCTGTGTTCTGTTGTTTCACGTCGGTTTTCTGCGAGGCCAAAAGATGTCACTCTTTTTCCGTGTTAAGTAATAGGTAATATTAAGCTAAATCTAAATGTGACTTGTAAAAGCTAAAAGACTTAAAAACAAGAAATAATTTCATTGCTTCATACGAATCTACCTTCACGAGTGTCTTCGGGGAAGTGACTGGCGCAACCGAACTCTCGGATACTATAGCCTCGGGACTATGGCCTCAACTAAGATAGGGACCTATCTTATTTGAGGATCGGATAAGATAGGGACCTATCTTAGTTGAGGCCATAGTCCGAAACGAGAAAACCGGGTCATTGGGGCCAATATTCAGCTGGTATTGTGGGTGCAAAGTGCAATGATGCCCCACGGGCCCAGCCCGGAGCAGGGGAACGCACGGGGTGGTTTTAATAAGAGTCTGACAATACCTCTCGGGGTAAAAGAAGTCATTTGCTGATATTTCTTGGTCAAAAACTAGGAACCCCTAGTTTCACTGATGGACAGATATATATACCTATAAAAAGAAGGCATTTTAAATAGCGAGACGCTTCTTTTGTTTATGTGTAAGGTTGGCAAACGAGTAACAGGATTACCTGATGGTAAGCAATCAGCGCCGCCCATGAACACCCACAACGACGGAGGAGTAACGAGTGCGTTGTGGACCGTTTGGGGACTAGGGATTTGGAGATTTTGGGAATTAGGGGAGGGGAAGGATTAGGCCTTCAGTAATCTCATTCACACGGCGAAACACAACGCTGTGGTTGTTTCACGCCGGTTTGAGGCCCACGGCCTCACAGAAAACCGGCGAGCCGACCCATTTGTGCCGAAGCATGGCCCTCCCACACTTACTACACACACCTGCTTCTTTAGCAGAAATTGTGTTTTTTTACTTTCAGATTATCGAAATGTGACTGCAATGCGTTACTAGCCCTCCTCGGCAACCACACCGAAGTGACCAAGTGGAATGTCTCCAAATTCCTGAGAATCTTGGAGACTGAAGTTAAAAGTCTTATACAAGTTGTTTATGGTGCTGTCAAGGTAACTGTTCATTGTCACAGTTCTCAAATATAGTTGAATGTGCTTAATTGTACTGAATACCCTAATTGTTCAGATATTTTTTATTTTATTTTATTTATAAAAAGCGTTGCCCCACACTAGGATTTTCTCCTGTATCGTGGGTGCGCTAACAAACATACAATTTCACGTACACATCACACCCAGACCCGAAACAACAATTTGTGGATCACACGGAGTTGTCCCGTGCAGGAATCGAGCCCGCGACACGTTGCGCCTCAGCCAGTTGCCCAGACACCGCGCCAACCGTGCAGTCATTTTAAAAGTCAACTTATTAAACAATCAGTTTTCTGAATTCAAAATGAGGAATAGTTTTTCTGTAGGTTTTGCCTGTTTTGTTCCTTTTACTGTAGGTAAAGGGTAGTAAGAAGACTTAGACATACATCTTATAAGCCTAATTGTTAACAATATTTTTTTATTTTACTCTTTAAACACGACTGCCAAAAATTATTGAACACTTAAAGAGATTTATTTTGGGAGTAAATCTTGTATGTTTTCATTTATTTAGCCTCCAGCTCCAACGCCCAAAGGACGCAAAGGTCCACCGGTACCTCCCAGTTCTAGACTTGTGGCGGACCCACGCGTTGAGATCATACGACCGAATAGGATTGAAAAGCTTGTACCCTACCAACCATGTGCATAGTAAGTTCTTTTATTTATCTATTTTGTATTAGATAGATATCACAAAACTACAACTTCGACCGTGTGAGACTTGCCGCGCTTTTTGACTACCAATTATCTGCGTTCTGACAGTTTGAGTACTTGCGCGACCCACCCAAATGTTCTTTTGATCGGTATTGTTTGTTGGACAACTCAGCAGCACTAGCTATACTGGTTGCAAACTGACACTTGCGTGCCTGTCTTCAGAACGGGTCCACTTAGACTGGTGTGGTTCTTTCCTCAAAAGACCACTACAGAATGAACTTGCACGGTTCTCTCATGTTATTTTTACATTGTCTGGACTTGAAAAGAGACTGACCTCTGAGTTTGTTTAGCCTATTTGCAAAAATAAATTCATTGTTTCATTGTTACATATTTCACGTAATTCGAAATTTATTAAAAAGCAAAATTCTAGACTATTTAAGTTTGGTGCGCAGGTGCGCTACGATTTTTTATATAATGGCAACACTCTGGCATCTTTTCATTATATTCCTTTATAGGTATGGTCATGAATAAAATACAATAACAGCAAAATGAATGACGGAAAAGAATTTAGGTGCTGAGATAATTATTTGATATTATATACCTATTTATTTAAAGAATTTTATTTTACTTAATTTTTAACATAAAACTTACGGACTCAGTAAGTCGGTCACTTCTCTAGTGAAGCTATTTGCGCGTTCCAATTTGCACTTAAGTATGGGAAAAAAGACCAACACACTCCAGTTCCTTATAAACCTATTTCCCTTATTGTTCTAACTGACTATTATTTCTACTAAAGTACATATTTATTCTTTTCCTAGTTGTGTGGAAGACTACATAATGAATCTCGTATTCGAAACACCAGCGGTGCCTGCCACAAAAGAATACATTGAATCTATCTTCCATCTCGAGGATGTGAACACGAAATTCAATATCTACACACTTACTATACCAGCGTAAGTTTAAAACACAAATATAAGTTTCAAGCTAAGAAGATTATTATTAATAGCTAAGCTAAAACAAGCTAAGTAGATTATATATTATTAACTCATGTCTCCAATTACTTTCAGGAAACGCCATCCGTTCCGTGGAAAGAAAGACTGAATGTTATTTGTCATCAATTTGATTCAAATCAAGTATTCAAAATGGACGTAATTATCGTAGATAATCCGTAGTTAAGGTTGATATTACTTTTTGGCAAACAGATTTTTTTATTTACTCTAGATTTTACAAAATTTATTATTAAATGTTTTGGCGTGTAACGCCGATTAATCCAGTATTGAACTTTTAAATAAAACTCTTGCGTTCATAAGATTACTTTTAATCCTTGGTTTGAGAAATCGCCAAAGGTGCCGCGGAAACTGTCTTCCACGTTTTTATTATACCACAGGTACAAACTATTCTACTACAGAATACGTAAGTATATCTACTGAGAGGGACGCTACTCCAGCCCCTTAAGGAGTATGAAGAGGTATGCATGTTTTAAATTCAAACAACGAAGCGCAGACTCATCAGTATATAGTAATAAAGTACTACATAAAACACACCTAAACAATATTTAAAACTTAATAAGTACTTTATACCAATATAGCGGATCTGAAATACGCCGTCTCAACCGAGGGCTAAGTTCGCCTTTATTGCGGCGATGAGATCCCATTTTCAGGAGTATCTAGAGAGACGCCACAGCTTCCTCGCCTTGCGCCTGAGGCGCTTACCACACAAGGAAGTTGGAAACGCGCGAAAGTCGTAATTGGGAAGATTGCTCGGAGGACACGGTAGAATATACGTGTGCGGTGTGCGGTGTGCCATACTTGGCCTGAACACCGCCGTGTCCTCGGGAAAGTGATCGGCGCCAGCAACCACTCGCGCTCAGCCTCAGTCCAGCCCACGTTACAGAGCGAGAGAAACTGGGAAGCCGTATCTCCTTATGCTCCACCATATTCTCAGGGTGGTCCTCGCAGTAACGACTTTCCCTTCCGCTGGATCCTAAACAGGTTTTACCGAACACCTCCTAAAACTTACCGGTCCGAACAGGGCTAATGTTCAACGGAGGATGCCAGTGCAAGTGCAATAATATGCTGCGATCCCGATCTGGAGAAGGTAGGGTTTGGTTTATAATCAAAAAAAGTAACTCCCTCTCGCCATAGCCAAAGCCAAGAGAACTTTTAAAAAAGGCTTAGTATAGCTGCCATTCTGCACGCTTAATTGGTTGGGGAACAGACCCTATTAAGAACGCCTTTTGCAGCTCTCAAAGCTCAGCCAAACTATTTGTCACAGGTACTGGATCAATGAATGGTGCTTGGTGTCAACTTGACTATCAGCAAAAAAATATTTGGTTAAATCTTTTCTCATTATTGATATGAAATTGTGCCTCGAGACTGGCAAACCACAAAACGAGCTCGTCAATAGAGGCAGACGGATAGATGTGTGTCCCTTGCTCTTTGCCCGACTCAGCTGGGTCTTTAGGTAATTATACGACATACAAACAATCAACATCCAATTAAAAATAAACATCCTAGTGTTACAAAATGGAATACAATATTTTTGTATCAAACACCAGCAGTGTTTATAAATTTCTAGCGGCCTGGTAAGACTTCGCTACGTAATAAATGACGAACCTTTACTGATTTTCTGCAAACTTCACACATAAACTATCTACTAAATCGTCCGAACAAAGCCTTAATATTTGGCTTGGATTATACCTATGAACCAGTTCTTCAATAAAATTACACCGAGGAGTGGCATTCATTTTTAGATTTAGGTATAGTTTAAGCCGTAACACATATACATTGTCAATATGCCTTATTTAATGTAAAATAGGTACCTACTGTAAGCACACATCAACTTATTTAATTTCATTGGGAATAAAAGTAAATAAACTGACCACCTTGCGCCGTAGTGACACAGCTACACATATCCAACTTGCAACGAGTGTTTATGTTTGCCGAAATTCCATTGGATGAATCTCTGCCCAATAGAAGACTCGGTGGTGGCTTGCTTTATCTGTCTGGGCATCCAATAACTCTCAAATTCGCAAGTCTTACGATCTCAGGCGATGTTTGAGGACTGTTTTGTTATGATGCATATATCTACTATGTGCTATGCACATCTACATGTACTAAGTCAAACTCCCCAAAGTGGTAAATTAAATGTACCTGGCAGATAAAAACGGTAAAACCAAAGAGTGTATAAACACAACGATCTAGATAAATCATTTTATTTCAAATGCTGATAGAACACAAGACAAAGGTATACACATAAAATAACGTGAATTGGCTTTCAAGTAACAAAAAGTCAAATGTTATGTAAAATGATTGTAAACCTTAAAAGCTTTTCTCTGGCTACAAATCTAGAAGCCTCAATTATTCAATAAGAATCTGTAAAATAATAGTTTAAAACATATTATTCTAAAATAGTAGGATTTATTTTCGGTTATTGGCAACTTTTTCAGTTTTTTTCCGTGGTAACATTGTAATTTTGTAGGTCGCAACATTCAACGTTTACAGTGTTGCAAGCTCACAAAAAGTGCCGTATTTCAGGCAAAAATAAAAAAATATAATTCAACAATAATGAATTGAATTTAGATATCGTATTTATCATCAACCACCAGCAACCTATTAAAATTATGAAGATTCAAATCTGAAGCAGTCCATCACTGAATTGTTTCGTTACGTAAATATCAAATGTTTGAAAAATTATTACAAAAAATATATTCTGCTACATCATTTATTTATTATATAATATAATTGTAACTTAAATATTTATTTAAGTATTTAAACATTTTATATTTCCCTCTTTTTAAGGTAGAATAAATTTATAAGCTGGGAACACTGATGATGTGTTTCTCTTGTTTGTGTGTGTGAGTGATGTCTCCGCCATTGAAATTCATTTTAGCCGAGAATTGAAATAGGTTGTACCTTTCACAAATCGGCAAATATCTTCATAATCTTCCTTTCTTTGCCTGTTCTATTTAGCTATATTTCGTGCACCATAATTATATCAAATGGCAGACAGAGACACAGATGAGTTAAACATCGATAACGTAATAAAAAAATTATTAAAAGGTAAATGTTGATACGGTTTGAAATAAACAAAGTTACAAGTGTTCCGCCCTAAACTCAGTGAAACATGACGAAATTGGTGTTGAAAAGTGATGAATGTGTAAATAAGTTGTGGTTTTTACGTGTTAGTGATATGTTTACGTTTGTTTTCAGTTCGGGGCGAAAAGCCTGGAATGAATGTACAGTTAACGGAAATAGAGATCAAAGGGCTATGCTTGAAATCGCGGGAAATATTCTTGTCACAACCGATATTACTTGAATTGGAAGCACCGCTAAAAATTTGCGGTAAGTAAAAGATTTTACGACTATTTCTAACCAATACACTTACTTTCCAATGCAACCTTACCACTTTCGAAAAGATGAAACTGCATTTTTAAGCGTCTATGTCATTGTTGAAACCTTTTATCATTACTTCATAACTATTACGTGAAGGTATTTTGTTATACCTCCTTTGATTACCCACCTTTGATGACTTTCCTTAATTTAAAATTCGGATGCATTTGTGTAACCGTCACTGCTAGTGACTCGTTTGAATTTTATACTAAATTTTGCGTAAAAACTCGATATCCTTTATTGATGTTATAGTAGTTTAAAGGGGTGTAATGGGTATACTCAAATTATTATCCTTTTATGATTAGTGTTGAACAGTCGCGTATAATGAGATTCGGAAATTAATTCGCGCAATGTCTAGATTCAAAATTCTTACATTTCACCATCGTTACTCCGCCCCTGAGAATGACCAATTATTCATGTATTATTTAAATGCGTTGTGCTTGATTATCCAGTAGTACCTAAAACTCAAACTGTGACCGGTGAAATGAAAACTGGGTGCTACACTGTAGTCTACACCACTGCTAACCCAAGACATGTCATTGTTTCCTCGAATATGTAGGAAAAAATTAAAATGGTAGAAATTTAAATAATGGAATGGGATTAAAATTAGTTTTGCTTATTTATTTGCATTCATTATAATAATTAAAAATGCATTATAACTTTTTCATTATCCATACATTAATCATTGTCATTGATTAAACATCAATAAATTTAATATTCATTGTGTAATGTCAGTTTGTAACATAATATTACTGGTCAGTTGTTAGATTTGTTGGCAAAATTGTATACTATTTTGGCATTGTCTAAGCTCTTTCTGTCTTTAATGAAAAAAAAACAACATTTTCTTATTAATTTACACAAACATTACATGTGATCTGTATGTGATTTAATGTGCATTATATTCCTACATTGAGTAGTGTATGTGTTATAGTGTTTAGAATGTCCCAACATTTTAGGTAACTATAAAAATCATTGCCCCGCCTTTATGTTTAACAAATTTTATGAGCCAGCTCATGATAGTTATCGCCTAGATCATTTGCTATGTACGTAAAAGAAGTGTAGCTCCCCCGAATCTGCAAAATAATCTCATAAGGCCTGTTTGACAATATCTGAATAGCTGTTATGATCCAGATAATAATGTAGAATGTAATTTGGTGATCTGATGAAGGTGTTAAAACAGGTCAACACATTATTATTATTTGTTCCACAAGTTTACTAATGTTATATTCTAAACTTATTATATTGTTACATGCATAGTACCTAACAAAATACATGCTATCTAATCAAAGTTCCAATATTACAAATGCAATGATTATGAGGTTTTACACAGAATCTGGAATGGGGTGGTTTCCATCTAGTCAAATGTTTTTTAGAAATACAAATACTTACATGTAAATCTTGTCTGTAATGTGATTTGCTAAAACTATTTGATTTATTAGTATTGGTTTTCCCCCTTTATCCATGTATGTTAATAAACCCAGTTATTTTTAAACACAATAACTGTAAGTTGTGTTTGTAAGATTTAAAACTTACACTACAAATCAAATTTTAAATAACAAATCAAACCATGCACTGTTACTAATCTTCACTAGACCTATAATTAGTTTTATTACCTAAATGTGAAAATCAAGGTTTAATTAAACCTTGAAATAATCATGCAGCAACCTTGCATCCAGCAAGTATTTGTTTTACACATTTTACATTATCAATAATCAAATAATTTCTTGCTAGCATTAAGACTACACATTATCAGCACTTTTGTTTCATTTACAATCTTATCACAGATGATTAATTGTAAGAAATCTGTTATTTCCTTAATTTCTAACATATTTTCTGGCTTACAAATTGATATAAAACAATGTTTAGGTTATTTGTTGATTATAATTTACAATACGGCCGACATATCTTGGTGAGTCTGAAGTTAGCCGTTTGTCTGCGCAATGGATCTTTTAGGAACAAAATATTGTACTGCGCAACTAATCGGCTAACTTCAGACTCGCCAAGATACTACGGCCGTACTATAGTTATTAGTCATCTTATGTGTAGATGAGGTAGTTGGAAGCTATTTACCCCATTATTATTATAACTGGTAAATAATTTTATGTGGTAAGGCCCAGGGCCTTGGCCTTGTTTCACATGGAAGAGTGATTTATGACCATTTTCAACAGCTTCTCGAAGCTTGTCAGCTACCATTTTACCTGCATTTTTACCATCAATATTCTTTTGTTTAGTTGTTTTCCTTGGCTATGTCAATATGTCAAGCTTACTTATGTTCAAGCTAGAGAGAGTAAAAAAATAATATTGAACATTAGACATGTTGTTCACTAAAAAACCTATTATATTTTATCTGTCTCATGACTAATTTAATAGCTATCAGATTTTGTTATAATCATAGTTTAATCTGATAGCAAACCCAATGTGCGTGAGCACATGCTAAATGATGCAATTGCTGATAGCATGCCAATAATGAATAGTAGATGTAGGTAATTGACATTACACTTTTATTCTATGACTAGTACTTGGACTTGTCCTGCCAAGTCATCGAATAATGTTCCTTAGTCAACCCTATTTGTGGGTTGCCTTGACTTCTTTCTAGTGCTTAAAACTATAAATCCTTCAAGTATTAAAATTTAGAAGTTCCTTAACTCATTCACTGCCAATGCTGTCAATGATAACCAACACTGTCGGAGGATTTGCCTTCAACAGTTTTTGTTGGCATTCAAACACTTGAGTATTGATTTTGTTGAATCTTTGAACTCCTTTAAATACTCACTGTCCTTAAACTTATACTTAATAATGAGATGTTTACCCATAGTATCCTGTTTTCTCTAGAAATAATAGGATCGTGACATAAAATCAGACAACATTATTTGCGTAACAAACTACAAAAACGCCTGTTTGACACTTAATTTTCTTCCACAGGTGACATCCACGGGCAGTACTATGACCTGCTCAGGTTGTTTGAATACGGTGGCTTCCCTCCAGAGTCCAACTATTTGTTCCTCGGAGATTACGTAGACCGTGGCAAGCAATCTCTGGAGACGATATGTCTACTCCTCGCCTACAAGATCAAGTACCCAGAGAATTTCTTCCTTTTACGTGGCAACCACGAGTGCGCTAGCATTAATAGGATTTATGGGTGAGTCAAATGTTTTTAATTATTTCTATCATCATCATGTCATTTTCAAGACAACACTGCCTAACACAAGCCTCACCCAATGACTTTCAGACAAACCCGTCAGAAGTGACCGAAAGAGACCTGCATTCAAACGAAACATATTTTTTTATCTGCTTAAAAATACCGAGTGGAATGAATTTGATCCAAACTCCTTTCCTTTCATGCAAAGGTTTACTCTCTGGAATGATGTTTATTTAGGCTCTAAGCACCCTTGAATTTACGGCTAAATTGATTAAATTCTCCAGTAATTCTATATGCCAAAAGAATTACGTAATTTAAATATTTATAAGCAGGTTTTCTATTCATATTTGATGAATGTGTCATCATTGTCTTTCGCGTTTATCGGACCACGGGGTCATTATTATTTGTCAAACACAAAGGCCAGAGTGTCCCAATTTTGTTACCTGCAAAATTTGAAGACCGCAGCCTTGGGATGCCTTTTGCGACCTAATTTTCGGGATTTCCCAATTATAAACTATTGTTAGGTGCTAGCAAGGAGGCCTTTAAATTTGCTATCGAATGTTGACAATAAAATAATACAATTAAAAGAAACTTGTTCCTCAAATAAGGACGTTGCTATCAGCCAGCTTATCTATTTACACTGAATCACTATCATGGCACACTTATGGTGACAAATAATACATACGAACAAATTCTAAAGTCTACGAATAACGTCTTCTAGTTTATTGAACTTGAAAGTTCGTAGATTAAAAAACCTTTTTATTCATCCTTTTTCTAGTAGTAGATAAAAAAGTGTATCTTTGAACATTTTGAACAGCTGTCTAGTATTTGTATCGTAAATTCTAAATGCAAACTACACGAGAGAGCATATTCACCTACAAACGTTACACAAATGAGACACCAATGTCTAGCCATTGTGATTGCCTATTATACTGAAAATGAATTATTAGAGCATGAATATGTAGGATGTAATAATAGATGATCTTGTAGATGCAGATGTTCTCATAATAATAATTCAAAGATGTCAGTAGAACAATATCTTTAACTAGATGACTTCATGACTTAGCTTGAACAATATCACATTAACAACGGGCCTATAAAATACTCCTCCTCGGTTTCCTCATTGCTAAGGGTCGTGACCACCTCGTGGAAGCAGTATTTTGCGTATTACTCTCCGCCATCTAATTCTATCTGCCGCCGAGTGGAGAGCATCGTGGACTGTAGTGTTCCGTCCAACATATCGGCCTTCTGCCTCTAGGTTTCTTTCTTTCCACTTTACCTGTATAAAATACTAGTCTGTACGAACGAACGCGATCGAACACTAACGAATTACGAAAGTTTTCACCATTAACTTAGGTATTCCATTGCGATAATTCAACCTACAAGGTACTCCCATATGGTACTTAAAAGAATAGAACGACGTTTTCCAATTTAAATAGAAAGGTTAGGATTAATTAACGGCTTCAACTCTTAACCGTGTGACGTAATAATTAAGTTAATCGTTAAAGTTAACTAATTAACTCTTGAACGACGTTGTTATCCTTTGAAAGTGCGTTTAAAGGTCACTTTGAGGTTAAAAATCTTATTTATAGTGTTGAAATGTCCTCAAAGTTAGACCCACGTACTCCACACTTATTCATATTTTTCTTCATAAGTATTAGTTTGTACGATTTTATGCTTTATGTCTGACTAGGTCGAAATTGAATTGTATTGAATTGGTGTTTTTCATAATTATTATCATATCCATAAGACAGTCTACATAAGGTCTGCTCAATTGATTGCTTTTGTTCGTTGGTATCTTTCTTCTAAAAAAGATTAGAAGGGTAGAAATTGTGCTGGGTGTGTGGCAACGTGTTCATCTCCTGTTACATCAGAACAATAACATAACCTGTTTACTATGATAATAAACAGACAGGAAATTATGACGTCACCGAAGCTAAAATGACACAACAAGCAGGTAAATTACGTAAAACTTGGTAAAACTACAATAAAAGTGAAGTAAACAAGAAAGTTGCCAAAATGTGTAATGAGACGTCACCACCGTACATTGTTGTGCAAATATTTTTGTTACCGACCTAACCGGTTAACTCGTACGAAACAACGTCACTTTTGACATGTTTTAATTGTATTCTGAACTTAATAATAAGTTTAATTATAGAGTTAATTATTAAATGAATATTTTTTAATCAAATACTGTTACTGATGATCATGGGTTCCTGAACTTGAACAGAGCTTAGTTATACTTGTGTAATAACGCAGTTATTTAAACGGGAATTTTAATTGTAATCTTTCAATTTTAGTTCGACGGTAACGACTGTTTTTTTTTTTTCATTTTTTCCTACAAAACAGCTAGTAGATTAAATAAAATAAAATTTTTGCTACTTACCCAAAAATTGGCCACAGAATCTTCGACATGCTAATTTTTCGTACTTTATGCGAAATGTATTTCAAGACGTTCATGTCAAGTTTCCTATTTCCACATTTCCTTTACTGACTATATTAGGTTATGATACTACAGCAAAAACATAAAACAGAGAAATGGTGACTCGGTTGCTTGATTGCCTACTACTTAGCCGACTGTATATGGGTAAACATCGCTTTCAAATCTACCTCTTTATTGTAATGAGCTGTAGTTTTCTCTTATTACTTTAATTCCAGTTTTTTCGCTAAACTGTCTTCCAATCGTTTTAGTCAATTCTCTATATTTAAATAAAGAGATCATGAAATATTTCTTGTACGTAAACGTAAGATAAAATTTATTACAAGCTTAGTATAAAGATGAAAATCGATAACTTTAGTATCTAAATATAAATTATTTAGATAAGGGCCATAAAATAAAAACGTAAGTATGTATTCACGTATGCAGATGCGATGTAAATTTAAGGTACTTTCTTACAAAGGCCTTTCTTAGCTGATACAATCGTACAATAAAAAAGGGCAGTCTGTAGTACTCCCCAACTTCCTGTCACCATAAGGCGAAAACAAAGAATCGTGCATATGTTTTTAAAGTCATGGGAAGCGAGCACGCATCCGTCATGCGCCGGCGACTCTCGAACAAAACCGGGCTGCGTACGGGCCTGTTGTGGTGGCAGGGTCTTTACTTTTATGTGTCTCCTATGGCTATGTTTAGGAATAATACTGTACCTGTATGATGATTCACTATGTTGTGGTTTTGAGTTTGGTATTTCATTCGCTTTTCGTTAGCTTTCATTCCTATATTACTCAGAGTTCTTCACCAATTGAAGACAACTGACTAGATGACCCTTAAATACCTATCTCTTTTTCTCACATTTGATAGATAAAAACTTATACATAAAAAGCAATTAATTCTTACCCAAAATCTCGCATGTAGGTGTGCTTACTTAGCATGTAAATATAAATGAGTGACGCACAATTTGAAATTGTAACCCAAAATCCTTTTAAGGTGGTACGTAAGTTCTGATGTTGACATCATCCTTTTAAACTGGAAGTCCTCCTTAGTAGGTACCTGTTTTGTAAGCTTGCATTAGTGATTTGGCACGTATACTAAATACTAATGATAAACATATTGTTGAATTAAATTTTGGCCTGAATTTCCAGACATTTGCCATTTTTGTCTTGAATTGTAAGATAACCATTGACACTTATTTCTTATTATTAATTTGGCTATTCTAGGCTTTTGCAAATGCAAACCCAACATTCTACAGCATATGAGAAATGCAGAAAAACTCTGAAACTTTGATCATACATCATACTTCTATATAAGAAGTAGTCTGTCTCTGTATTTCTCGACGTATAATACCTAGTCATACTTGAAAATATCAATAATACATATTTGTTCGCTTACTCTTTGAAGTACCACATACCAGTTTTCCCATTCGATTTTAATCAGTCACCCTTCGACACGTAAGGCGGGTTTACAACGATGACTCACTCGCAGCCCTGATTCACGACAAGGTCGATAAGCAGTCAAGTTCGAGGTACTTGGAGACGTTAGATCATGCCAAGGTTCCAACGTAAATTATATACCTAAAGATACGGAATTGTTCTGAAACGTTTATAATATATGGTTTGAGTTTTTAATCGTATCTTGAAAGTACTCTACTACTTCAAAAGACGCCTAGTTTTTTGGGAGGAAAGGTATGGGAGTGTGGGGTTTTTACCTCATTAAAACCGTTTCGGTAGTCTCAGTAAGGTACACCAGGTTTTCTTATAGATTTGATCCGGAACCCTCGTGATGCAGCACCTGTTATAGCATATCTCTAAGAAGATTTGCGTCTGCCTTGAGCTAGCCTACGGCTTCGTATTCGTAGTAGAATAGCTGTACAAATAACTCCGATTATACAAGTGTAATCTGAGTTTCTAATAACACACAACATTGGTTTTTGGTTCCCTATGGAGTGGGCTAAAGTTGTATCTTTGTACAAAAAGACTAGACTGATCTTCTAGAACAGCAAAATATTAAAAAAAAAAATTGTATGTACTATAAGAACATTAGTCTAAAACAGCAATTAGGTTCTAATACATAAACGACAAAACTTTTAATGAATAAATATGGCCGACAGACAAGTGTTTACGTAAAGGTCGTTGACCTAGCTACGAGTTACTGAAATACGTAGAAAACAATAATTAGAAAATATGAACCGAAGTACTTAACGCCTGAAGATACAATAGACGCCTTGAAATTCCATGCGTAAATTATGATAAAATTAGGGAGTATAATGTTTTGGTCGTACCGAGTTCATTGAACCTTTGCGATAGCTGAATGTGAGGGTAATTGTGAAAAATGTTCTTTCTAATGTAAAACACACCATTAATCGTCATTTACCTTTATGGAACACAAGTTAACGAACTATAATGAAACTTAATGATAAAAAGAATTAGCTGTATGAATGAATATCTTTAAATATTTTTTGTAGGTATTTCATTAAAATTAAACTCGTAAACAGCTGCTCGTATAATGATAAATCGCAAGAAAATTAAGATGTACTTGTGATTTGTATACAATTTATAGTTCAGTT